ATAGACTACCAAATGAAGGTACATGTTTTCGGTAACAGTCCTTCTCCTGCAGTAGCAATTTATGGACTGAGGAAAACAGCTCAAGAGGGTGAGAAAGAATTTGGATCTGATGCAAGACAGTTTGTCAAAAGGAATTTCTATGTAGATGACGGACTCAAATCTCTGCCCAATGAAGAAGAAGCTATTGACCTTCTTACCAGAACCCAGAACATGCTTGCCACTGCAAACCTCAGACTTCTCTATCTCTAACAGTGACAAGGTCATGATAGCCTTTCCTTCTGATGACCATGCTGTCAGTGTGCAGAAATTCCAACTAGGATGTGACCTTTCTGTTACACAACGAAGTCTTGGATTGCTTTGAAATGTTAAACAAGACACATTCACATTTCAAACAGCCTGTGATAAGCCCTTCACAAAGCTAGGAGTATTGTCTACAGTAAACAGCATTTATGATCCGTTAGGTTTCATTACACCTCTCACCATTCAGGGTAATATACTGCTGAGACAACTTACTTCTGAAAGCTCAGACTGGGATACCCCCTTACCCAAGGAGAAACAACAAAGGTGGGAATCATGGAAACAGTCTCTAAAAGCATTAGAACAACTCAAGATACCAAGCTCTTACAACCAAGCATCCTTAACCACTTGCCGCCCTGCCACTGCATATATACGTGTGCAGGGCGGCACTGGGGCGCAAAAGCACGTTTTAAAACGGGCTCCGCGCTCCCGACATTTTCGCCGGCAGTGGGTGCGCGCGCGCGCTCCCGTCGACCCGCGGATGACACCATTTGATCCCGGAGGGTACAATCATTTGATTTCAGCCAGTGATGTCTGGCTGAAATCAGATGATCGGTCCCTGTCCTATCCTGTCCTGTGTTGACAGTTACACAGGACAGGATATGATGTCATTCTTCTCTGCCTGGACACATTCCGTTCCAGACAGAGAAGAAGACATACAAATTGTGAGTAAAACAGCACATACCCACAGTTAGAACACTCTAGGACACAATTAACCCCCTGATCGCCCCCCCCCTCCCCAGTTAACCCCTTCACTGCCCTGTCACCAGTGTCACTGATCAGTGAACCGATTTTTACTGATCACTGTATCAGTGTCGCTGGCGACTTCCAATAGTATTAGCGCCCCTCCCAGATAGCGCCAGTTTGCCTGCCAGTACACCAGTAATCCCGTTTAACCCCTTAATCCCCCCCCCCCCAGTTAACCCCTTCACTGCCCTGTCACCAGTGTTATTGATCTGTGAACAGATTTTTAGTGATCACTGTATCAGTGTCGCTGGCGACTTCCAATAGTGTTAGCGCCCCTCCCAGATAGCGCCAGTTTGCCCGCCAGTACACCAGTAATCCCATTTAACCCCTTGATCGCCCCCACCCCCCCCAGTTAATGCCTTCACTGCCCTGTCACCAGTGTCATTGATTACAGTGAACAGATTTTTACTGATCACTGTATCAGTGTCACTGGTGACTTCCGATAGTGTTAGCTCCCCTCCCAGATAGCGCCAGTTTGCCCGCTAATGCACAGGATTTTTTTTACCAAAAACATGAGCAGAATACATTTTGGCTTAAATTTATGACTAACTTTGACTTTACGATATATTTTTTATAGCTGAAAGTAGAAAATATTGTTTTTTTTCAAAATGTTCGTTTTTTTTGTTTATAGCGCAAAAAATAAAAAGTGCACAAGTGATCAAATACCACCAAAAGAAAGCTCTATTTGTGTGAAAAAAGGACGTAAATTTCGTTTGGGTACAGCATTGCATGACCGCGCAATTATCATTTGAATTAGTGCAGCGCTGTATAGCAAAAAAAGGCATAAATTGCAGTATTTATACCATAGTTTGTAGACGCTATAACGTTCACACAAAGCAATCAATATACACTTATTGGGATTATTTTTACCAAAAACATGTAGCAGAATACATTTTGGCTTAAATTTATGACTAACTTTGAGTTTACGATATATTTTTTATAGCTGAAAGTAGAAAATATTGTTTTTTTTTTTCAAAATTTTCGTGTTTTTTTTGTTTATAGCGCAAAAAATAAAAAGCGCACAGGTGATAAAATACCATAAAAAGAAAACTCTATTTGTGTGAAAAAAAGGACGTAAATTTCGTTTGGGTACAGCATTGCATGACCGCGCAATTATCATTTGAATTAGTGCAGCGCCAAACAGCAAAAAAAGGCCTGGTCATTAAGGGGGGTAAATCCTCAGGAGCTCAAGTGGTTAAAGAATGCCACCAGAAGAGAGATTCATGTCTTCTCTACGCCTGAACAATGGCACTATGTTCCCACAAGCCTCAACCCTGCTGACCGTGGCAGTCATGCAGTACCTACTACTGCATTTTGGGACACATCTTGGCTATATCCATCATGAAAGAAGGTTCTGCACACCTTTACTTCAGGCCTGTAAAGGAACTAGTACTTCTTTTGCCCAAAGAGGAGTCATCAACCTGAATTTTAAAGGGAGGTAAGAAGGAATGTGCATGTTGCTGCCTTCCCCTCTGAATATGGATTTCCATGTCTCAGCCTGGACTTTCGAGACCAACATCTGCAAGTATTATGCTAAATGTTTGCATTGTTTTCCTTTGTTCTTCCCTTCCCTCTTGTTTTGCAGATGTTCCTGAAAAGAACCTTCATTATTTATATTGGACTTGAACTAAATTTTATTATAATAGAAATCATAGATTTCAACGGGAAGTGTCATGTTTCACATGACTATCATATTGACTGTCATATGCCTTTAAGTGTTTCTATATTTTGTTTCTGCTCCTCCCTTTCCTTTGGTTTAGTTAATGCTTTACAGATAGCCCTCCCCCTTTCCCAGAAAAGCATTGCAGCTCTAGCCTCATGTCATGGAGCAGGAAACATTATGATTTTTTGACCTATCGAATGTTCATTGTTGTAAGATTCTCTCAGTTTATGGAATAAACTTCACAAGATCTACAAGATGTCTTATCGATTGAGTCACTGACTGTGGTATCCAACTGAGGTTGAAATTATCGCTATCTCATCACAACTGTAAGTTACAGAGATCACACTATCAATGCTTAGATTGGAGAGACAAACACATATACAGTATATATATGTAAATATTGTAATAACTATTTCTGAATGTGAATTCCTATCTAAAATATTCAAAAATAAAGCATAGAGCCCTTTCATTTAGGATGTGAAGACAAGAGAGAAAAGCTTTGGCTATAGAACGTGTCCAAAATCTTCAGCTAGCTCAATCAAGATCCAGACGAGTTGCTGTGCAATTACGACAAGCAAGAAAGGTTAATATGTGCAAGTGTTCCCTGTTAGAAGCTGGGTGGTGTAGGAGGAAGAAGTGGAAAGTGTCTGCATGCAGTGTCTCTAATAAGAATTTGCTCAGTGTGGGCCTCTGCCCGCTCACCAATCTTGAAGATACCAAAGCTCAAGGGATGGAGATGTCCTGGAACAGGATCTTGAAGAATCTGCTTCCAGTGGAAGGCGCCAGAATTGTGCACCTGGCAATGCTAAGCTTGTCATAGAGCTGATGCGGGTAACCATAGGCAGTCTCACTAAAAACAAGGAGCTGGATTTAGACGGTCTGCTGGCAGGTAGGTGGCTCACCCACTGAAAATTCCCTACGTAGTCTAGGCCGCACATCCTGCTCTACACACTCGGAGCGACCTGGTGCTTCAGATTACAGTCCCCAGGCCAAGCCATGTATATCCAGCAATCTTCACTTCTGTCCATCTGGCTAGATCTTGTAGTTTTCAGCAGCACTAGCTTCATGTCAAGACTCAAATTCCTGGACTACATGTCCCACAATCCCCTGCTCTCAATAGTGGTCCTTCTTCCAATGCTTCCGGGGTGCAATGTTATAGTCACTAGGTTGAACACTACAGGGAAGCAACTCAAGGCAGCCTTTGCTTCGAATGTCTCGTGATCATACAGGTGGACTAGCCAGCACTTGGCTACAGAGACATTAGGGATCTATTAGACCTAGATCCTGCTCTCTACTGAATCTATTGGAGCACAGATTACATTACAGAGCATATTACATCTGTATTTAGGGTGTAACATGCTCCAAGCCCCACCCCCCTCTATTTAAACACCTTCCTCCCTGTGACAGCCGGCAAGGGTACTTCTCCCCCGAACCCACTGAAACATTTCAAAATCAATGTAGCTGTGTGGGCCTCTAACTGCACAGCTGCGTCCTTCATTCACAGCAATCTGTGAATGAGAAAACTACAAGTCTGCAATTGAGCCAGGCGGCTAGTTTTCTGCAAAAATGTGTGAATTTAATTTTTTTTCCCCAAAGGTGAGCTTAGCCTTTAACACTGATATATTTTGCAATAAAAACATTGTACTTCCTAATATCCACAATCTATATAAAACATAAACCTATATCTATCTGTATATTATTCTATTCTAGCTAAACTTGGCAAGATTACATCTATTTCAATACTGCAGATTAAATGCCTCTTGAACACTGGCAACCTTCCACATTTTAAACGTGTAATCTTTCTTCAATACCAAGTTCATTGTAAATGTATTCACTAATTTAACCACTTGCCTACCGGGCACTTATACCCCCTTCCTTACTAGGCCAATTTTCAGCTTTCAGCGATGTCGCACTTTGAATGACAATTGTGCGGTCATTCAACATTGTACCTATATGAAATTTTTATAATTTTTTTATCATAAATAGAGCTTTATTTTGGTGATATTTAATCGCTGCTGGGTGTTTTACTTTTTGCGCTATAAACAAAAAATTGCAAAAATTTGAAAAAAAAAGGTTTTTTGTTTCTATTATAAAAATTTTGCAAACAGGTAATTTTTCTCCTTCCCTGATGTGCGTTGATGAGGCAGCACTGATGGGCACTAATATGTGGCACTGATGAGCACTGATAGGCGGCACTGATGGGCACTAATAGGCAGCACTGATGGGCAATGATAGGCAGCACTAATGAGGTGGCATGGATAGGCGGCACTGATAGGCGGCACTGATGATGGGTACTGATAGTCAGCACTGACTGGCGTCTCTGCTGGGCACTGACTGGGTAGCACTGCTGGGCACAGGTGGGTGACACTGCTGGGCACTGGTGAGTGACACTGCTGGGCACTGGTGGGTGGCACTGGTGGGCACAGGTGGGTGGCACTGCTGGGCACAGGTGGGCAGAACTGGTGGGTAGCACTGCTGGGCACCAATCATCAGGGCACTGATCATCAGTGTCCTGATGATCGGTGCTGATCCCTGCTCTGACAGCTGCCGGTTCTCGGCAGTACTTTCCTCATGCTCTGACAGCGTGAGGAAACAGCAGCCGAGAATCGGCAATTGCATTTCCCTGTGATCAGCGTGTCATTGAACACGGCTTTTTACGTGGTAAAAGGCAGCTGTGATTGGCCTTTTACCACATCACGTGATCAGCTGTGTCCACAGGACACAGCGATCATGGAGATCGCCAGGAGTACGCAGGAGAGCGCGTTATATGACGTCCACCCAGAACTGGCCGGCCGCAGTGCAGACGTCATTCGGCTATCTATGGTCGGCAACTAGTTAAAGCTGAAGTTTAGGGGTGGCTTTGTCCAAAGATTTAGCAATTAATTTACCAAATATCACAGTAAAAATGACTTTAAAGGCAAAAGTTTTATTTCCATTTTGGACAGAGTAATGGAGGGTTAGAACTCCTTGCAATTTTTTGCTAACGGAGATTTCCCCTCCGTTAGTGTTCTGATGTCCACCCAAAATGTGGGATTCTCTCCCATTTGCTTTCAATGAGAAGAAGAAACAGTAGAAAAAGAGAGAGTGAATCTCTCGAACAGGGCATTGACAGCAATAAAAAAAAATGACAGGTGTTCTAGTTCCTCTCCACTCTATCCATGCCAGTGGATATAAAGACATTCAAAAAATTACCAAACAGTTTCATGAGATAAATACTACAAATTTCAATGATATAATACATACCTTACTTTACAAGAGTTTTTTAGTGAATTGCAAAATGTTTTTTGAAAAATGCTAAAAGATATTTTACCGCAGATCTTAAAGTGGTAAATACCACTGCATGAATGGAGCCCACTGTCTTCATGCACAGCTTCCAGTAAAGTGTCAGCTACAAATCTCTGCTCTAAACCAACTTCCAAAGTCAGAAATAGTGACACCAGTAAACCATGCTTGCATAATGTGTAACATCAATTCACATGTGGTGCAGGACCTAGTGTGGCTTGCAGAGGAATGCCCCTCCTCTGTCTTTCCAGAGGAAATGTACCTACCTATTAGATGCAGCAGCTGTTTGGATGAAAATTTTCTGCACAGCTCCTTCAATTTTTCAGCCAAAAGATGACAGGTGGGAGGGTGGTGACAGGGCCATCCATGTAGCAAATATCTGCCTGTTCTTCAGGTATTGATGTATTGGTCTGCTGCCCCCTTGGGGACCACTACAGTACTGCATTCTTTATTATAACCTGCCCGGGAATTCATATTTTATGGGGTAGCAAGCCATGGTGGTTGGTTTGAACTATATGATTAAGTCTATCTGGGATGACTGCACAGAGCAACATACAAGTTGGAGAGTTATAAATATGAAATATTTCACTATATGAAAGGTAGTCTCATGGAGGTACAATTATTTACACTGCTGAATAGAATCTGGGTATTCCACCTGTGTTGGAAGCTGCAAATTATTATCTACATACATGCCCAACTCATCTTCTGAAGAACACAGCAAAATCTGTGTAAGAACTCAAACAGAGTATTGCCCATGTCTCACCAGTTTACTCACTCTAATTTTTGAATTAAGTATAAATTGTGTTTGTTATGACAAAGGGTAAGCAAGGTATATAGGTCATAGGGGCACTCTGAGTTGGATATATAAATAATATAATATAGCTCAAATTCAGAGAACGTACCATATCCTGTATTATTCTGTAATATTTTAATGATCAGTCATTATTGATTGACTTTTTAAGATTTATGGTTAGCACTTCCGCCTGGTAGTACTAGGGTCATTTGTTCAAATCCCAGCCACGGCACCACCTGCCTGGAGTTTGTATGTCTCCCTGTGCCTGCGTGGGTTTCCTCCGGGTACTCCGGTTTCCTCACACACTCCAAAAACATGCTGGTAGGTTAACTGGATCCTGTCTAAATTGGCCCCAGTATGTATATGTATGAATGTAACTTAGGGACCTTAGATTGTACGCCCCTTGAGGGTCGGGGACTGATGTGAATGTACAATATATAAATGTAAAAGTGCTGCTTAAATTGACAGCGCTATATAAGTACCTGAAATAAATAAATACAATTTTTACTGGTAACGTTTAGGTGTTATTGTTAACTGCTTCAGAAAAAAAGGTAACTGAAATGCCAGAACTTCGCCCTAAATATTAACCCCTTGGCGCCTGTGCCTCGCAGCCCTTTAAGGGGTTTTGGATGCTGGAAGGCGGGGCAGGGTCTGTGGCCATGTCATGTCCCTGTCACAGCGGTGAAATGATCGAAAAGCTCCTGCTCACAAGTAGCAATCAGGAGCTTTCCGTTAGCCACCAGTAACTTGCCGGTAGCGCGCAAGATGCTCTGTCTTGGCACAGTTCTGTGTTTCTTTGGGTACGCATTTATGCAGCCTCTCCGCATTAAGGCTCACCTGCTGAGAGGCCACATATATGTGGGTTCCTTTAAAGTTGTGTCAGTGTCCTTCCTCTGTAATATACTAACAAATGCAGCTAGTGCATAAAGACTAATTATTATTATACAGGATTTATATAGCGCCAATAGTTTGCGCAGAACTTTACAATATAAGGGAGACAGTACAATTACAATACAATTTGGTACAAGAGGAAACAGAGGGCCCTGCTCATAAGAGTTTACAATCTAAGAGAGTAATTGCACATCCATTAGCTGCTAAGATGCACTGGCTGCAGTTTAACTATGCGGATGTATGTTCACAATCACTCTCAAAAATATAAGACTTGAACTTTGGAGGAAGCACCCTTTTATTAATTAAATGACCCCTAATCCTGATGTGGAAACACAATATAAGTAGCATGGTGGGATCCCTGATCACATATCAACTAATGAGGCACAATTACTTTATCAGCATATCACCGTTGTCATGGGAACTACTCTCCATTGGGCCTAATCAGGCTCATGGAAAATTACTAGGAATGCATTCTATAAAAAAATAAATATTACACAAAACTGCTTATTTTCTACTTGCAAAATAATGCAAATTACCCATGCCATATTAAAATAACAAGGTAGCCAAATATTAGCATGCTTGCAAACCAAGGGAACAACAAATGCAATTACCAATTAGTTCAGTAAATATAGAGTAACAATGTTATTGTAAATGCTTTTGCGCGTATGAAATATAATTTAGTATCACACTAATACTGTACCAGTCAGGTAATAATGTCATAGGTTTTCCTGTGGAAAAATAAAAACAAAGTTTAACTGTAACAGGCCTATCTTCAAATAATACCCTGTGTAGAATTGAATCCATATACTTTTACCTTTATTCTTTTTACACAGGCCATTCTGTTCAGAGGTTATGGGATTTCTGGCAGGGATCCAGGACCTTTGCTCTGGCTCACACCTCTTGCAATCAGTGAAATACTGCAAAGGGTTGCAAAAAATGGGAGCCTAACATTCTATTAATCTTTCAATTTTACACTACCTTTCAATCTTTCAATTTACACTTTATTAGGTACACCTGTTCAATTGCTTGGTAACACAAATTGCTAATCAGCCAATCACATGGCAGCACACTCAATGCATTTATATTGTAAAGCGCTGCACAAACTGTTGGCGCAATATAAATCCTGTATAATAATAATAATAATTTAGGCATGTAGACGTGGTGAAGACAACTTGCTGAAGTTCAGACCGAGCATCAGAATGGGGAAGAAAGGGGATTTAAGTGACTTTGAATGTGGCATGGTTGTTGGTGCCAGACGGGCTGGTCTGAGTATTTCAAAAACTGCTGATCTACTGGGATTTTCACACACAACTATCTCTAGGGTTTACAGAGAATGGTCCGAAAAAGAGAAAATATCCAGTGAGTGGCAGTTGTATGGATGAAAATGCCTTGTTGATGTCAGAGGTCAGAGGAGAATGAGCAGACTGATTGCAGATGGTAGGGTCAGAATTTGGTGTAAACAACATGAAAGCACAGGGGCGGACTGACCATTTGGAAACTCTGGCACTGCCCAAGGGCCCGGGGTCAGTAGGGGGCCCCATGAGATGCCCCTGGTACCCTTTTCATAGGCTTTTTTGAGTTTGGACAAGGACACAGGGGCCCCATGATCCCCTATTGCCCGGGGGCCCCTGTGAAAGCATAGATCCATCCTGCCTTGTATCAACAGTTCAGGCTGGTGGTGGTGGCATACCTAAAAAAGTGGCCGGTGACTGTATATATCAATTGTAATGGTGGAAGTAGGAAGAAGAACAAATTTCATTAGGGAAATGTGAGAACTTATGAGGATTTTAAGTGGATTAGGAAGAGACTTTTATATGCAACAGCATTTATTATAAAGCCTAACTACAGGTTTTGTGTTGCTTTAATTAGTTAAAAAAAAATTACCCTTGGGCCCCACCTACATTGCAAAGGTTAAAGATCTTCTTGTCCATCTTCAGCCAATGATTATACCATACCTGGCCAATACTCCTGGAAGCTGGAAATCACTGAAGCTGGAAATCACTTAATCACTTTTTGTGCTTGAGTGGCTTAACTGAAATATTGTGAACATAAGTCTGCTGCTCAGCACAGGTGCCATTCAGAGAATACTTTGCATCTTCTGAATGATTGTCTTTTGATTTAACAAGGTTGAAAGCATGCTTTGCAATCATTTCACCAACTTCCTATGTTCACAAATGATCAGGCCAGCTGCTACTTGGAAGCACACGGAAATCCCTGGAGTTGAGGTGTCTACTTTAGCAACTTCCAGCTTCCAGGGGCATCAGTCCAAGTTGGATCAATGTCACTATGTAAAATATACTTTACCTGGAATTCATCTTTAAATCCTCATTAAAAGCTACCTTATTCCTCACTTTGGAAGACTCCTAGCTGTGCAGACACTCTTGCTGGTGGTCACATAATGACATCATTACATACAATGAAGGGCCAATAGTTTGGTTTTGTTTGTGAGGATAGTAAGAGCCCGCCCACATCACAGAGTGGAGAAAAGCACCAGAGCCGCAACAAGTGAGGTAAATATTACATCTTCTTCCTCATCTAGAATTAACAAACCTTTAGTCCTCCTCCACTGCAAGGGTAGTTAAAAATACGATTTTTGGTACCCTAGTAGGA